TCCCCAGCCAGCATGGCTGGCTGGGGAATTCTGGGAGTTGAAGTCCACACATCTTCGAGTCACCAAGGTTGGGGAACCCTGTTCTAGCCAGTCTGGCCACACTTAGAATTCTGGGAGTTGAAGTCCAAACATCTGGAGGGCTCTCAGTTTGGGGAGGCTAATGCAAAGGCACAGAAACTGAAGTATAACAAATCTAATAAGAGCGTCTTCACTAAATTCAACTAAAAGTACTCCAAGCAAGCATGACAAGAAACAGGAGAACACCCAGCACTTAACCCTGTATAATCTGAGTCTTTTGGAAGAAAGAGCCACTGATTTTAATGGCTTCTATAGAAGTTTTTGCTGATCCAACAGGCTGAATCGAGAACTTAATACTTTTCCAGGTATTATAAAGACTTGCTAAGCTCGTGGGGAAAATCCAACACCTGGTTCTCCTTAAGGTCTTACAAGGGAGCCCAGCCCTGGTGTATTTATTGACTTTAGATTTTTTTTTTATCTGCCTGAGGAACTTGGAGCAACAGACCTTGTTTTCAAAAATCAAATGGGAAGGAGGAAAGCAAAGTCCAATGAAGAATAAAGTGAACCAAGAGGCAATTGTCTAGCTTTCCAAGATAGTTTTACTTGGAACACGCTTTGAAATATGTTCTAGGCAAGAAGCCTACATGGTTCCTTGCTTCATCCAGGGCTCAATTTAAGCAGAAGGTAAACAAGCTACTGCCTAGGGCCTCACAATTTGAAGGGGCCTCTCAAAAAGTCAGGTTTTTAAAATCTGTTCCCACTTTATTATAATTCCAGACATGAAAGTTTCCATAAATGATGCCCTCCTGTATGGCTCACATGACCCTCATTAATTAAGATCGACTTTGTTTCAGCATCCATTCACACCATCCCAGGTTCAGAGATGGTCCTTCCCCATTCCATCACAGGCACTTCATGCACCTTGGCATATTCAGATGTTCCCCAACCTCCTCCTCTGTTAACACTTCCATCATACAGCCTCTACATCTTCAAGCCCCCCCACCCCATCTTAAATCCAGCCTTGGCGCCATCCAAGTCTTTCTGCACGCTTGCCTCTAACCCCAGCCACCTGAGCTGTAGTTTATTTGCTAAACTACGGCTAGATAAACCAGGGTTTAACAAAGCAGACTATTTTTAAACCCACCACCTCCCAAATAAGGGAAAGAAACTCTTCGCAGAAAGCTGGCCTTCCCCATCTCTCGGGTTTGTCGTTATCCTCGCCAAACCGAAGGCTAAGAAGCGGAGCGAAACGCAGCTCGCGTGCCCCCAGGAGCGCGGCACGAGGACGCACGCGGAGGAGAGGGGAGCGGGCTGCGAAGCGAGCGTTCAGACGTTCGGACTGGCTGCCCGGGCGCGCGCGCGCACCTG